GCCATGAGTAAAAAATTTTGTGCAGAACCGATTATGCAGGGGAGCTTTTTCAATTTGTTCTATTCATTGAAATCAAAATCTCAGATAAGGGACAATAGTTTTTGAGACAAACAAAAAATTAGAAATATGGGTCAAATATTCCCTAACAGACTTTCTCAAAGAGAGACCGAGGCAGAAATTAAAAAGACTGGGAGAATCTACAGGCACACATTAAAGTAGGTGTTCTCTCTTCATTGATACCTTTTTTAAAACCGGTACAAAAAATTTGAGAAATATAAGAACTTTTGCAAAGTGAAAAAAATTCCAGAGCGTCTAAAAAAATGAAAGAAAAACCCTAATCCCATACATTTTCTTAATACCTGATTTTATCAAACATGAAATCTAGGCAAAAATATCAAGCAATACAATTATAGTTTAAATTAGCAATGAACAAAATCCGATAAAATTGAGCAGACACCAGTTTATAAAAAAAAAACTTTAAAAAGTTTCAAGTCTCCCCTGAAACTACAATGAAAAATACTTTTAACTACCATGAAACTTGCATTTACAACAAGAGATATCCATGATGTGGCAACTAAGCCGACAAAATTTGAGCAGATAAACGAAAGTCTAAATAAAATTCATACTGATAAAAACACAAGGTCCGACCGGGATTTGACTTTCGGACCTTGATAAAGCAAGTTGAAAATGTGTAGGAAAAGTTGTTTATGGGAAAAAGTCTAGTTCTCGATTAAAAGACACTTGCTTCCGCATGTGTAATAAATGTCACACACACTTGGTGAGGCTAGATGAATCAAAACTATGAAACCAACTCCTATTACACTAAGTCAACTGAACAGATAAAATATGGAATAGATCTCATTTGAAAGATAAAAACTTGGCACAAAAAAGATTTTAAAAAAGGTAGTACAAAAATTTTTCAAAAGTTCAATTAAAAAAATAACAGATTCGAACATTATCGATTCATTTCTGTTCTTTCTTCTAACTTTCATACTTTCAGTTTTTTCATCTCTTCATAAAATGGTTTGCATATTATTTTCAATTCCATTTAGCTGAAATAGTTGAAAGCATAACAAGGAGTTTCAGCAAAAACAAACAACTTCAGTTCCAATCAATTTCATTTTTTTTTTACAAAAATAAGTTTTCAGGACCACATAATCAATTTCTAGCTGACCTTCGACATCAGAAGCATCGCGCGCGTGAATCAGTGTTATCTGCTGAAAAAACTTCTCTGCTGAAAAAAAAAGAACCAAAAAAATGTTCAAGTCCTGCGGAATAATTGCCCTTCCCCCTGGGTAAGCGTGCCAATTAAGACAATACTCTGGTAATCAATAATTTTATTCAATTTTCCGGAAAAGACCTTCATTTTTTTAGCGAAAAGTCAACGTTCATCCACTTTGTAAGGTGCACTATTTTAGCATATTAATAAAAAGCGTATTTAAAATAAAAGCGTTTTATAATAATAACTAGCAAGTAACGCACCTCCCGTGCTTCGAATTTTTAACAACTCATAAAAAACCGCATTTATTGAAAATAAGATCTGCATCCTTTGTGTTTTCTGACAGCAACCAATTACAGGGTTCGTAACTACAAATTTTGCAAAATTCTTTATTCAAGTTTTTTTAATACAAATTAAGAAAAACCATAAAATTTTGTGAAGTTTTAAGTTCTTTGAAAAAATTTGAAATTTAATGAACTAAGAATTTGCAAAGTTCTCTAAAAAAACTTAATGAACTAAGAAACGTGACATCTCGAAAACTACATGCAATTGAGCAGTCGCATTTGGACGCAAGATTTGCAACTCCTGAGAGTACTCTTCAACTACCCAACTACAACATTGGGAAAGTCAAATTGTGAGAACCTTCACACTTAAATTTTCTAAGAACGATATATTTTTTGAAAACCAGATAAAAGTTCACATCTCGAAAACTACAAAGATTTGACCAGTCTTATTTGAAAGCAATATTCGCAGTCCTTGACAGTACTCTAACAGCACACAACTACAGGGTTAGGAATTTCAATTTTGTGAATTATTTTGTAATTTGAGTTTTCTGAAAATTTCTGAAAAAAATCACAAAAATCGTCGTATCAAAAGAACTAAAAAGATTTGGGTATTCCTAATTGGAGGCCAAATTGGCAGCCGCCACTACAGAGTTGCGAACTTCAAACTTAAAAAAATTAATTTAAGTTTTCTGAAGATTTTTTTTTAAAATACCAAAAAATTCATTTCTGGGAAATTACATAGCTTTGAGTAGTCATATTTGGAGGCTAAATTCGACACTCCTGAGAGTACTCTGACAGAGCCTCAATATAGAGATGGGAACTTCAAACTTTGTGAATTTTTTATATCTAAGTTCTCTGAAAATTTTGAAAAATCTAAAAAAAACGTCATATCTCAAAAACTACAAGGATTTGAGCAGTAATATTCAGAGGTAAGAATCGCAACACCTGAGAGTATGCTCACAGCACCCAACTACAGAGTGAAAATTTCAAAAATTGAGAGAATTGCCGTATCTCATAAACTAAAAGGATTTGGTTATTCATATATGGAGGCCAGAACCGCAAAAGCTGGGAAAATCCTGAGTATCCCACTATTGGGTTGCTATTTTGAAACTTGATGAAATAAACACTTAATTAAAACTAGAAAATTGAAAAAATCTCAACCATTGCAATATACACAGCTAAAACCTGCAAAAATTCTTTTGTTAAACATGCAAAAATAATACGTTGAAAAAGCTTAAAGATGGCGAGATAGTGAAGCCCACATTTAAATATATAATGGATAAACCAAAATTTAAGGTAGCACCCGAAGGAGTTGTTGTTCTCGGATTCCAGTTTTTTCAAAATCCAGTTAATGTTGATTTCTGCAGATTTGACAGAAACATGTCAGTCTTCATGATCAAATGTCTTCGAGATTATATTTATTCAAAATCATTTTTGTACACTTCAGCGATCATATTCTCCGGATGTTCTATCTCGTCAAGATTGAACCCAAACTTTCTTCCAATCTTGTTACTTCGATATGCAAGATGAAAACGTAATCAATTTCATAATCGTAACCATCGAGGTCCTCAACCTAAATTTACACATAAGTTAAGCTCAAAGGTAAAAAACATACAAAAAGAGCCTTTACTAAAAACAAACTAGAAAAAAAACCTGCTGATACTAATGGAATCGGACAGGTGTCCGTTCTCATGGATCTGGTTGCTATTTCATGATTGCCTCATAGCTGGATTCGAAAAAATGAGTAACAAATCCTAATTTTCCGGAAATATTGTTTTTCATATTACTATTCTCTTGTGTTTTGATAGCTGCTTCAGTCACGGGACATAAAATTTGGACCCTTTGCGTTCAACGAGCAATTGAACGAAATACTACTTCGCATTTTCATAGTTTTCTTTTCAATTATTTACACAGAGGCGACAATGAGCTTCGCGCCACTTGCGATACAACTAAGTCTAAGAAAATGAAAGAAGATTCTTCTGAAATAAACATTTCCAAACAATAGAATGCAAAATCAGCTTCGGAGCAAAAATAAACAAGCGGTTACAACGTCGAAAATATCTGAGCAGAAACTGTTCAAACGGAAATTTTTTAAAATTTAAAACTTAATGAGAAAATTTAACATCCCCCTTCTCTTCATAACACACATAGGCACACAAACTTTTTTCGCGCATCAAATGGAGTAAAAAGAGGCTACTAAGCGATAGAAAATGAGCCGAAACCTATAAAGCTGACAAAAATGAAATTTCCGCAAACCGAATGGTAAAAATGCAACCACCTTAAAAAACGCGCAGGGGAAAGTTGAAGTTGTGTTTTTCTTGGAACGACCCAAAATAGGTCACTGAGCCGATAAAAAATTTGGCCGAAATATTTTGGACCGAAAGTATAAATACGCAAAAATCAAAAAAGCTCCACTAAAAAAATCGCTCACCAAAACACAAACAATTCCAAGATGTATCAACTCAGTCGACAGAAAATAAGCAGACAAATAATTGGCCGACAGTTTCATTTGAAACAGAATATTTCCCTTTTTTTAAACAAGTCTTGTGAGATTCGAACCACGGACCTTTGCGTCACAGGCGTATTTCTTACTTCCAGGCTAAAAAGACCGGCAACGCTACGGAAGAAAAAAATAATTAATTATGAAACAAGGTGCCACAAGAGATGAGTCCAGATGAGATGAGTCCTGTGAACGAAGTTATTTGCGAGAAACAAGTCTAGTACCCCATTGCCATGCCCTTCCTCATTGTAGGGTAAAGATATAAAGTTGCAATTTTGACTCGTGCTAGATGAATTTACTTGAAAGAAGTTAACGGGGTCAAAGTTTGAGATATCTTTTGCAGGTGTATAACAGCCAGCATATCATAACTAATTAAGAGTTGTTCTTCCTGTGATAAAACCTCGCAAACAGTAAAAGGAAACTGAATTTATGGTTTCAATAAGATTTTTTGGGAAGCTGATGAGCTTCACTTACCCTTTATGCAGCATGAAGACGACAGATTAAAAAGAGTCACTTGGTCGCTTGTCAAAAAGCAGTCGTATCTGTTTTGACAATACGGGCAATAAAAGGTCTTGCGCGCTTATACCAGAAAACTTGACAGCAAATAGAGAAAACAAAACTGCGTATGAGAACCCAATGCATGAATTGGAGCAGTCATTTGCTCGAAATACTTCCTGGAAAAGTTCTTTTGTTGGCTTATTTTGATCATCAGCGCAAAAATATTCAAAAACGTTTAGCCTTTTTTTGACGCATGACCAAAAAAACTCTTTCAATTCTTTTATCGGTCGTTGCATAAAGAGTAATACCGGCTCATCAGCTTTGAAATAGTTATGATATAGTAGCTAGTAATAATATATATATATATATATATATATATATACAGTTTGATCGATCTAGTAATTCCAAATAATTTATCTAGCATGTGTCGAAATTTCAACGCTATATCTTGAATAATTGCAGAGAAAACGACAAATACGGGAATGAAAAAATACGTTGAAATCAAAAATGTTCAACTTCTATGTCCCGAGACTGTACTGATAATCAGTGTTTGAATCAAAGTAGAGATTTGAAGTGAACTTTCAGACATCGTAGGCACGAGTGACGCTCTATTTCAACTCAAGTATCATTATTAATTTCATGTCAACCCCCCTTTTAAAGATATTTGTGGTAATTACCTAGGACATATCGACTAGACACTCATCTATTTCGCAGGCACTTGGATAGATTTTAAAATATATCTTTTTGGAACCCGAATCAGGGGTACCTCACTACATCTATTACGATCTTTCATTGACGCTTCATATGTGGCGAGCTAAAACGTATGCTGAAAAAACACTTCAAAATTAACATTGAACTACAAAAGCATACATATGTGAATGACTGCAATCGACCATTATTCTAATTCTGCTGAATACCACTTACTGCTACTATTCGTTTCAAACTGCTCGGTACAGTACAATAGTAATAACACTTAATAAATATAATACTACTTTGTATAATAATTATAACAGATTATAAATTTATGAAAAATAGTCTGCAAATTGTTTTCCCTTTTTGCATCTTCGGTTTTCTTTTCAACATGGGCCACATTCGCATTTTCGGACTACCGGGACCTCAATGCGGTCTGTCTTTGTTTCGTTTCGGTGACACTCGAAACGCGACGTAATCGCCTTCTTCTTCAACGCTCGGCAACATAAATCTCCGCCACAGCTTCTCGGACACTCGATGTAGCGAATCTTCTTGGTGCTCATGCATCCGTCCATCTCGAAGTGCTTCACCTTTTCGACATTACACTCGATCTTTTTCCAGCACATTGGACCTCCGTATCCCAAAGGACATTTGCAAGCGTAATTTGCAGGTCCTGTAACCTCGCAGCTTGCATCATTTTCACACATGTTATAATCACACGCTGTCTTCTTTTCGTTCGACGGTCCATCGCTTTGCATCGAAGTATCTGGCTCATACTTGCAACCCGGCAAAACATCGAAGTTCTCGACATTATCTCCGAAATTTATTTGCCGGTTGTTGACAATAAGAGAGTTCATGCAACCCGAGAAACTGTTCACAGTGTCTGGAACAATATGCCACATTTTTGCCGCGTTGTCTCGAAGGTTCGCGGGGAGTCCTCCAATATACGTCGCCTTTTCGTCAGTCAAAAATTCCAACTCGTTTTCCATAGCCGCTGAAATATTTCCGGCCTTCTCCAGTTTGTCGTCCACTAAAACTTGAACATTGAGCTTAATTACTCGTACTTCAACCTTGGCAAAGATCAGTCGGCTTATCAAGCTCCTAGTTTCAATTACAACTCCTTGAGTAGTTCCCAGATAGTAACTGACTCGCACTTTTCCATTGTACAGTTGTATAAGAAGGTGTCTCTGACGATGGTCCGGGTTGTGGTACATCAGAACTCCCGTATCACTACGTGGACTAATTTCAAAAGTGATATTCATACTTGTGTCCATTACCACTCCATTAGACAGTATAAAAGTGTTCAAACGGTCGAAGGAAACCGAAGAAAGATGACCACATTTCTCTCCTGTAAATCCGGGGACGCAAAGACATTTGAAGTTATTGGCGTCTTCGGGATGTCGGTGACACAGTGCTCCGTTTTTACAGTCATTATTAAAACACACACTGTTCGGAGGATATCTTAGAGGCTCATACTCGCAAAACTCCCCGTCATAACCATCCTTGCAAGCACATGTGTAGCCATTTATTTCATCGACACATTTTCCGCCATTTTTGCACTTATGATCAGCGCATTCATCTACATTAACTTCACAATTCTTCCCCGAAAATCCGGGCTGACAATTGCATTCGTAATCGTGCACCAAGTCAATACAAGGTGCGCCATTTCTGCACTGGTTATGATCAAAGTCGCACAGATCGATGTCATTTTCACAAAACTCACCTTCGAAACCAAGAGAACAATGACATGTAAAAGCGTTCACACCGTCAACGCATGTCGCATTATTCAGACACTTGTGATACTGACAGTCATCGATATTAAGTTCACAGTGGACTCCACTGAACCCAACCGGACATTCACACCAGAAACTAGACTGGTTATCCGGGTGACACTGGCCTCCGTTTTTGCATGGATCCTCGAAGCAACGACTCAGTGCGTTTTCGCAATACCTCCCGCCAAACTCTCTCGCACAGTGACATTTGAACTCAATTTCATCGTCCAACCCGCAGGTTCCTCCGTTATGACATGGTTTGAACAAACAAGGGTTGCATTTCCCGAGAACCTCTATAGGTGGCTTCGAATTTTCGCACCTGTAAGTCGCTGCATCGCTATATAGCAAAGCCTGGGCAGCCATTGTTTTCGGCAACTCACATTTAGCGACTCCGCCATCTAAACCTTTTTCCTGCACCAAACGAGCGAGCCATTTTAAGTCACAGTCGCAATATAGTTTATTTTCACCCAAATAAAGGTGAGTCAATGATGAAAGATCTTGAAACGAAGTCTCGGGTATCTGAGATATCATATTTTCTGTCAAGGACAAGTACTTCAATGACACCAGACCATGGAACGCTTTCACGCCGATACATTTGATGTAATTGTTGACCAAATTCAGCGTTTCCAGTTTGATCAACGTCTGGAACGTATTATCAGGGACAGACGAAATCATGTTACCAGACAAGTCTAGTACCTTCAGTTCTTTTAAACCTTTCAATGCCTCTAGATTTATCTTCCGAATTACGTTATCGCTTAAAATTAACTCAGTAACTTCAAGTGGGATATTTTCAGGGATTCCCGTCAATTGAACATCATGACATCTAACAGATGTTTTCACGCATGTGCATTTTGGTGGACATTTGAGCGAACTAACACAGCTATTTTCTTCGTTATTCTCGCATTCAAAATCTAATTTCGTGAGATCGAATATTGGCAAATTTCGCAGATGCTTCGGCTCAACGCATGTCGGATTTCCGGTCACCGTTTTTCCTGGTCTAGAGTTGTGCCAGTTGTTCAGCCACTCCATGTGACAGTTACAGATGAGTGGATTCGAGTACAGGTTGAGTGTTTTCAGCAACGGTAAGTTTTCAAAGGGATTTTTTTCGATCGTTCGAATTTCATTACTGTAAAGTGACAACAACTCGAGGTTCTTATTGTCCATGAATGTATCGTTTTTGAGACACTTAATACGGTTGTACCTCAAGGAAACTCTTCTTAAATTTGGCAGATCTTTGAACATTCCACGTCTGATTTCTTTCAAATTATTGCTGCTGAGTTCAATGTCAGTCAATTCAGAGGCCCCGAAAAAAGATCCATCTTCAATTTCTTCAATCAAGTTTTCTTTGAGCGAGATTTTTCTCAAATTTACCATGTTCAGAAACCGGTCATCAGCTTCAATTCGATTGATCAAATTTTTGTTCAGAATCAACTCGGTTGTGTATCTTGGGATGTCATCAGGGATACTGCGGAATCCCCCATTCGAGCAATCAACTCTAGTTCCATCAGAGCAATTGCATTTTTGCGGACACTTTAAATCTACGAAACATGTACCTGCTTCACGGGTTCGAGCCGCCTCGCCGCCCTCACACTGGAACTCATTTTCGTCAATAGTTTGCATCTTTCGCTTCCTCATTCGCAATGGCCAGTCACATGTGGCATCACTACTATCAACCTCAATTAAACTCATGCCCATCTCATTCTTGGTCGACTTAATCCACTTCAAATTGCAATCGCATATTAGCGGATTTTCTCCCAAATGAATATGCCCCGTCTCTTTCACCCGGATAGTATTATTGGTAAAAGATTGCAAGTTGTTCCTATACAGAGATAGGAGAGAAAAGCTTTCAACGTCGGCGAAGATAACTTCTGGCAAACAACTTATCAGGTTTGAATTAAGAAGCAATATTTGGAGTTTTTTCAGACCTTTAAACAATCTAGGTGGCAATTCTTGAATCGAATTGCTGTACAAGCATATTTGTGTCAATTCGTGAAGCCCTTCAAATGCTTTTTCGTCGATAGTAGAAATCGAGTTCGAGCTCAAGTCGATTCGGTTCAAGTTCTTGATGTGTTTGAATGCACCTCCCGGAACATGATTTATCATATTCTTCATCAACTTGATTTCCTTCGCCGAGTGAGGCAGATTCTTCGGTATTTTCCGCAGACCTCTCTCTTGGCACTGAACTATTCCGTCTGTGCACTCGCATTTTTCGGGACAGATTGTTGTCCGCGGACACAGATCAGAAAACACTAAAAAAGAATCTCTTTGTAAATTTAATCCCCCTATTAACAGAAGCTCGGATTATAATTTTAAAAATTGCCAAAATAAAGTTTGATGAGGCGAAACGAACAATCGTGCTTCTTGCAAACTACAACTAACAAAAATTAAAACTGATCACGTTTCTCAATTTCCTGATTATCTGGACTTCAGTAGAAAAAAAGGTCAATTAAAACAACTCAACAACCACTGAAAAGGAAGCAAAACTAAAATCAAACGGAATGGAATCTGGGGCTCAAGACTCAACCGCGCTTCTTCGACGACAAAGTTTTCAATCCATAAGTAAAAACATCAAGTGAATTATTAAACGACGCATGTAACGACCACGAAACTATTAAAAAATAGTCGAAATATCATCAAAAGAAATTAGATGCTGTAGCTTGTCCACTGACTGTTGGATGCACTCATGAAGCTGCGCCAGTTACACGGAAAACGTAGCGGCTACCCAAAAAATTAAGCAAAAAAAGACGAGAAAGACATCAGAACAAAGATGAGCTTAAACGGAAGGGCCCTTTTTATAATTTAGTTAACTTAAATGGGCCCTTCCATCATGCGGCGGTCAGAGCAGACTTTAGGAGTCCGCGCTCTATATAGCAAAAAAAGGAATCTCAATTTGGTCGTTACATAAGATACAACTATCAAATTTACATCAAGAACCCTTGAATTGCGTGTCTTTGATTGATAGATAGACAAATTTTAGGCCAAAATTGTCAAGGTTGGGACACAAAAGCTATTGTCACCAAATAGACCAAAATAAAATCTAGTGTAAAGAATCTAATCGAGTCCATTTTCCATAGCATTTAGAGAATTGTCTGTCTAAATCTACCCTCATGCATTGTTGCACTAATGGAATAGCCTCTGTCATTTGTTCTGCAGTTTCAATTTTCCGGATGAATTCGATTGCACTCAAGATGAAAAACAATCATTATAGTTCTCATAAAAATTGCTGGTCTTTTGTTTCTTTTTCCGCTGCACTTCTCAGTTACTTTCTAACTTAAGTAGAGCCTGGCCCTCCCCTTGATGCTCGCAAAATTTACTACTTCGAGAATTCTTTGCTGGTTCTTACAAGCAAGTCTACACGCGTGATATTTGTAGGGGTCAGATATGGTTTAGGTAATGAATTTGTAACTGTGTTGAAAAACGAGCAAGCTACTATGTCAGGCACTTTGTAGTAGTTAGAACATAGTTGAAAGATGCCCGAGGGAAAAAGAGCCCAGCCTGAGGGCACGAAGTGCCCGAGTGCGGCTAACTTTTGCCCGAGGCCATCTTCAACTATGTTCTAACTGATGAAGAGCATGTTTTTGCTCTTTCTGAGGGAAAGATGCCGGAAAATTGTGAAAAGCCCGGAAAAGTGCGCGAAACTAGGCAAATGATTCCTTTTATCATTCATGCGTTCTAATATTTCATTTTTTATTCAATCCTTGTCGTGAAAGAACATGTGTGAAAGAGCAAAAAACAACCTCTTCTACCAACCATTATAACTCAGACCAATAATTATTTGTAGTACCTGATTTTAAGTGAAAAACAAAAATAAACTAAAACACCCAAATACAAAGGTTCTCCCCATTTTCAACGGTCGAAACAAAAATAATGAAAAAATGATCATAATTTTAGCAAGAAAAAAGTCAAAAACCAGTTTTACATTCACTAGGGGACAAAATTAAGCACAAATTCAGGATTTTAGTCATAAAAATGGCTGTTTTCTATGTCCATTTTCGACATTTCCTACAAACTCAGTGGCATTTTTACATAGACCATAAGCAAATTATCAGAGGTCCCCATAAAAAATTATCAATTTTTGGATTCAAGAACCTATGTTATTTGCGTCTGAAAATGCCAGTTTTTCTCATCTGCAACTTTCTTCATTACGCGTAAAAACTAAGGAACATCCGAGTTTAATAAAAACTAGCGTTTAACGCACCTTCGGTGCTTCGAAATTTTTCGACAACTCATGAAAAACCGCATATATTGGAAACAACATCAGCAAACTTTTAGTGTACTCTGACTGCATCCAATTACAGGGTTGGTAATTTCGAAAATTTAAATTTAACTTATTGGGCCTCTCGAGAAATTTGGAGGCCAGATTTGCAACCACTGAGAGTCACTGAGAGCACCCTTCTATAGGGTTAGGAATCCAAAACTTTGTGAACTTTTTTACACCTAAGTTTCCCGAAAAAGAAATTGAAAAAAAAACGTCTTATCTCGGAAACTAAAAGGATTTGAGCATTCATATTAAAAGGTAGGATTTGAGACGCCTGGGTGTACGCTGACAATAAGGTTAGTAGTTTCAAATTTTTTGAATTTCGTTGAAGATAAGTTCTTTGAGAATTTTTGAAAAAATCAAAAAAAGTCACATCTCGAAAACTAAAACCATTTGAGCAGTCTCGTTTAGCAATCGCATGTGGCAAGATTTGTAACTATTTAGAGTACCCTAACAACATCAAATTATAGCGTTGGGAATTTCAAATTTTGAAAAATAATTAATTTACGCTTTCCAAAAATTTTGAAACATGTGACATTCGACCAGATTGGACAAAATGCAATCTCTGCAGATTTCGAGTTTTAGCAGTGAACCTTCCGAGTTAGTGATTTTGAAGGATTAAGAACGTTATTCGAACGATTGAACAAAACGTGAAGGTTGAAGGATTCGGAAATTCCTAAATTTTAAATTTTCGAAGTGATGAAGTGAAGAGAACTAAAGAGAAACAGAACAACATTAGTTGCGATAGCAAGAAGAACAAAAATTGTGATAGAAAAACGACAACGAATCACGGAATTGACAGAGAACGTTCCGAGTTGCAACTATTGTGTCGCTACAATAGTTGCAAGGCCGTTGCGAGCAACGGTGAAGGGTGGAAGACAGCCTTCCGGGTTACGGAGAAGTCAAGTTTGACGTGCTTGATTCAGTGGATTCAAGAATCCGAAAGGGTTTCGGGACTGAGACTTTTATCCTTTTACATAAACTTTTAGCTTCCTGTCATGTCCTGAATTGAATTTAATTAACAACTGGATTCATTTTGATAAGGATGAGAAGCTAGGAGTTGGGGGAAAGGGTTGATCCATCTTCGATGGAGATGATCATTTTTGTCTACTGAACAAAAACGACAATAATTCAATAAATAGTAATAGCCCTGTTTTTAGGAGTGACCTCGTGGTCTGGGGATACTGAGACCCAGCCATGAGCTCACTATTTCTGCATGTAATTAAGTTAATTTGAGTGTTTTGACCGAAGCCGAAAGCAGTAACGTTTTTGTCGACCCGATGTTAGAAAAGAGCAGCGAAAAGTACTGGCTTGGTAGAGACGGTGAAAAGCATATAAAGCTCTGTTTAGACGTTAGCCAGTCGTCTTAGGACTTAGTTTTATTTTCCATCGATATGTATCTTCCGGGCGAATGTTACATACATCACAAAAAACGTCACGTCTTTGAAAACTACAAAAAATTAAGCAGTCAAATTTGGAGGCAAGAGTCGCAATCCTTGAGAATACTCTGGCAGGACCTAACTACAGCGTTGAGAATGTCAGATTTTTAAAGAAAAATAATAAATTAGGTTTTCTGAAAATTTTCGAAAAAATCACAAAACCGTCATATCTCGAAAATTACAAAAAATTGAGCAGTCATAATTGGAGCCAAGATTCGCAATCTTTGAGATTACTCAGACAGGACCTAACTACAGGGTTGAGAATTTCAGATTTTGTGATAAAAAATTAAAATAAGTTTTCTAAAAACTTTTTGAAAAAAAATGACAAAAAACATCATATGTCGAAAACTACAAGAATTTGAACAATCATATTTGCTGGCAAGATTTTTAACTCCTCAGAGTAATCTTACAACACCCAACTACAAAGTTGAGAATTTCAAATTTTGAGAAATAATTAATTTAATTTTTCTGAAACTTTTTGAAAAAATCACAAAAAACATCATATCTCGAAAAGTACAAAGAATTGAGCAGTCATATTTGGAGTCAAGATTCGCACTCTTTGAGATTACTCTGACAGGACCTAACTAGAGGGTTGGGAATTTCAGATTTTTAAAATTCATAATAATTTAAGTTTTCTGAAAACTTTTGGAAAAATCACAAAAAACGTCATATCTCGAAAACTACAAAGAATTGAGCAGTCATATTTGGAGTCAAGATTCGCACTCTTTGAGATTACTCTGACAGGACCTAACTAGAGGGTTGGGAATTTCAGATTTTTAAAACAATATTAATTTAAGTTTTCTGAAAATTTTTGAAAAAAGTCACAAAAAACGTCAGATCTCGAAAACTACAAGGATTTGAACAGTCATATTTGGAGGCAAGATTTGTAACTCCTTAGAGTACTCTCAGGGTTGGGAACTTCAAGTTTTTAAAATTATTTTGTTATTTGAAATTTCTGAAAATTTTAAAAAAAAATCTCAAAAATCGTCTTATCTCGTTAACTAAAATGATTTGGGCATTCAAAATTGGAGGTCAAATTCGAAACCCTTAATTCGATATTGGGCTGCTTAATTTAAACTCGTTAAAATAACCACTAAAATCAAATTGGAAAACCGGAAAAAAAATTTTTTAACCATTGCAATATACGATATAGCTTAAACATGCAAAAATAATTCGTTGAAAAAGCTTAAACATGGCGAGATAGTGAAGCCCGCTTTTTAAATATATAATAGATTTCACACTGATAACTTCAAACTTTTTGCAGAGAATGTTTCACGTCGCCTTACAACTTTTTTACTCTTTTTTTATTCAAGATAGAATTCACTACAATGCAAACACACCTAAATTACAATTTTCAGACCAGAATTTTCAAACTCAGATTACACAGTTACCCAGGGGCCACTGAGCCAACAAAAATTGATCCAACAATAAATAGGATGCCTCAAAAAATTATCGACTTAAAACCTAAGTTAAGAAATTAAGTTTCAAAATTTCGAAAATTTGCAATATAAAGTACATGAAGTTTTTGTCAAGGAAAAAACATTGACTCTTT